TTCGTCAAGCATCCAGCTTAGGCCCACTGCTCTCACGCCCTCTTGCGCTTGGTGTGCAGCAGCAGGCAGGGCTGTGACCAAATTTTAATCGTCTATTATGTCGCTCATACTGATAAAATTTGAAGAAAAAAACTTTAGGCACATAATTGTAAGGTGCCTACGTTCAAACTTTCACATTCTTATTTTTTTACAAATTCAAAAAAAAAAAAAATTTAGCTTCGCTTTAAGCTGTTAGTGAGTATAGAAGTGTCTGCTTACATAAATTCAGTTTGTCCCTTTTCTTTTAAGACGCGACGAACAACACAGAGTCAAACGAAAAGAAAACAATTGCCGTAACCTGTCAGTCGTAATTTTGCTTTCCCTGTTTCATCTCCTCAATCATGGTGATCGTTCCTTTGCTATTAACGTTAGGTGAATTTTACTCGCAAGACATCGTCTTGGAACGTCTATAAATGCGCAATTCGACCCGCTGCAATGCGGCAATTCGATATGTTGTTATTCTTCTGCATTGTTTTAGCCGTGTTCCAAAACACAGCTTTGAGAATGTGAACAACCATTTCTGCTGCAGCAGTCACCCGTGTTGCCTCACGCAAGAGTAACCTCGTGCCTTCATGCTTTAATAACGTCGTGTTTGAAACCGTGAATTTTGGTTTATTTTGTTTGTTTGTTTGTTCGTTTGTTTTACCTAAAAGAATAGGGAAAGGCTTTGAAATTACCCGGGCTCCTCTATTACACCCCACGAGTTATTTAGTTGATTGCCACTGTCTGATTACAATTATCTATAGTCCCTGAGAGTACAGGGTGTGGCTAATTGGGTTCACACTTCTTCCGTTGTTATCCACGATCTGATCGACTGCAAAGCGATAATGATATTTTCTAACCCCAGTGCACAGGAGCCAGCTGGGAAAACCGTCCTGGCTAACCTCCCTGTCTTCCTGCCATTAAAATGAATCGTACGGGACTGGCCCCATCCTGGATTTCTTAAGCAGTCATTCACCCCATAAGTCACGAGATAACGTGGCTCCATTAAAGCGTACTCACAAAACATTAACTTCCTTGAAACATGCAGGGATACAACGGGACGTAAATCATAAAATTTCGATCCGTCGTGGCTTAAGAACCCCTCTTTACAGACGTTCAGATTGTTTACAAAGTTCACAAACTATGTACATATACGCAATTTTGGGGCCATCGCAAAATGCATACATATACCTCCACGACTCCCCCAACTGGCATGCGGAAAGCACTCAAAGCAAGATTTTTTTTTTTCTTTTTTCGTCCCTCATTACCTAAAAGCCAAGAGGGCAATGGTCGCGACGAGGGTCATTTGGGTCGTCCAATCCCGGGAAAGTACAGAAGCCTTCGCGGACGCGGCTTCCATGCCGGGAGTCATTACCCGTCTGTTTTTACAGCACCGTGTCCTACACGCAGTTTAATATTTGAGGGCGTGTTCCCGAAGCCTCCCCCCTTTCTAATTAACAAAATGCGCGGTTGGTCTCGAACACGGTCGGGGTACACAACAAAATCCCAAGGGCTAAGCGGGCAAGCTCCCGCGACTAGGACAGAAATAGATACGGTCAAACCTCACTCATACCGTCATAATGCTCCTTTTTTGTTTTGCTTTTTTAACCCGCTACGTTTCCTTATTAAGAGCGTGAAAAAACACACACACATAAACACACATTCAAACTATGCGTGTGTTATAACAATAATCTGTAATATTCGTCGTTTTTGAGGCTATATAAACAAAAATGGGCGGTTGTTTGTCGGGTCTTGTTGTTATTTTTTTTTTCATTCCTAGCACGCAAGTGATGAGCGGAGAGTGGGTAAGGTGCACAAGGATGACTCTTGAAAATGGGGTGGAAATCATTGCATTCATCTGGAGTAAACATTCTCTCTGGGATTTTCTACCCCGAGAACGACACGGGAGTTCCCCAAACCTGCCCACTGACTTCGGAGATGGTGCCAAGATGGCGTTCCCCATGAGCCGGCAGACTGATTTACGACGTCGTTAATTCTTTACTTTCGACCGCAATAAAACGAATGCTCGAGAAGAAGCCGAAGGTCCTGCAGCTTCGTGACCTGAGGAGAAGCCCGATATATACAGAACCTCTATAGCCGGCAGAACAATGCGCAGAGAGGCTAAAATTGACAATGAACACTTGAGCATCGCACTTATCACAGTCATGAATGTTTTGGGTAAAATTATGTCAGTGGAGCAAAGTCAAAGTGGCTTGCTTCACGAAGACGGGCTTAGAGTTTCATTTTAAAAGAAAAAAATGTATTTATTTATTTATTTACAATATACTGCGGGCCAGTAGTCCGGCCCAAGCAGGAGTGGATGCGGTTTCTCTTCACATGATATCCAGAATTTATACATCAAAAGAAAAGGAGGCGTGCTTAAAAACAGATAAACAACATAGAACACAAATTACATTTCAAAAAGGTGTTCAATTGATCGTAGAACATTGTCCGAAGTAAAAATATGGGAAGGCAAGGAGTTCCAATCTGTTACACTTCTGGGGAAAAAGGAGTATTTAAAAGCATTTGTGCGAGCGAATATGGGAGTTATTTATTTGTGTATGGTCATGTCTAGTCTGTTTAGTAGATAGTGGCTGAATGTAGGATGAAGTCTCAAGGCAAACTTTGTGATACTAAAGCTGAAAAATGAATTATAATCTAGCTAACTTTCGGCGGGATTCTAGAGGAATGATGTTGCTAGCTCTAATTAATTCGGTAGGAGAGTCATGTCGGCAATAACGATTATATATAAAACAAACTGCTAGTCTCTAGACCTGCTCAAGCCTGTTAATGTCTTTCTTCGTAAAAGGATCCGATAGAGTGCAAGCGTACTCTAACCGAGACCTTATTAGTGTGTTATAGGCCAGAAGTTTGACATGAGAGGGTACGTATCTAAGCTTGTGCCTCACTAGGCCTAGTTTACGACGTGCAGATGTACAGACAAAACGCGCACAGGCGCGCGTTTTTGTGTTTACCGTGATGAATACAAAGCAAATGTCAATGCCCACGTTCTTATTTTTTTCTTACTGCTATACTCGCCCCACATTAGAAAATGGCAACCGGAGGACGGTACATGTAGTAATAGGCAAATAATAACGAAGGGCCTGAATATTTGGTGCCCATAAATATTAACGGCATAGTCAATAATAGCAAGCAGGCGTTTTCTGTTTATGCCGACGACACAAGTATTTTTGTTTTTGCTCGGACTGGGGATGAGCAATCAATATTGTAAACAACATACTAGACAAGAGGAATTAAAAGCCTGAGGTAATTTCAATGTACTCGTAACAAACACACAGGAAGACCAACAGCCTATTCGCTTTACTATAAAAACAATTCATCCTGGGTTCAAACCCCACCCCTGCCCGTTTCAATCTGGATGAGCATCGTACCGGTGTGCGGTCGCGTATCAGTACTGCGTGGTGCACGTTAAAGACCCCAGGCTAGCGGTTGTACCGCACTGGCTAAATTCCTCATCTACAACTGGGAGACAAGTCGCCCGTTGAGGCAGACTAAGTTCAGGCTCTTTATAAACACGCACGCGCACTTGCACGCGCACTTGCAAGTGCGCGTGCAATTGTACTGGAGCTTTATACAACCGCGTTCGCAACCGCTTTGCGAACGCGGATCCGCTTCCAGTGTGAATGAGCGGTTAGTGCGCTGAAAGCTATCACCGCTATCTTTGCTCGCTCGGCGCGTGCGGCGCGAGGTAGCTAGCCGCTAGTAGCAGCTAAAGTGCGCGCTCCTTTTCTTTTCTTTTTTTTTCTTTTTCCTGGAAAAAGGGGGGGGGGGGGGGGGGGTAACCCAGTCCGCTGCAGCTCTGTTATCTGGGAGGGTAGAAAAATCTTGCAAGGATTGCAACAAGTCCTCAATGGTCTGGGTGCCCTCATTTGGACTTGCTTTTTGCAATTCTCGTGGAACCCATAGGCGACGAGCGCAATAGTGACGGATAATAGTAATTTAGGCTCAGCAAGCTGCAGTAGCCTTCTCTTTAAAAAAAAACTCTAGGAGGGTATCAAACCCAGGCTTGAAATAGAACAGCATGGCTTGGTCCCATCTTTGCACAGCATTTCCTTGGAACGTAGTGAAGTTGGATTTCCATTCGTTCCAAGGCTCGTCAGCGAGGTCACCCAAGCGTAACTCGTACCATTGCTTGGCCACTCCTCGAAGAAAAATACTTATGTTTTGTATGCGGTCTCGTTCTGAAGTACAGGAGTTTTTCTCGCAAACGTAGTCGAAAAAAGCAATCCAACCTTCCGGACTATTTGATTGCCCGTCGAAGATATCTGGTTTTATCACCTCGTATCTGGCCTTTTTATTTTCCACGCTGAGCGTTGACATCAAGCTTTGAATAATGATGTTTTGTTGTGACCTTTGCGGCTGTTGAGCATGAATCGCTTGGAGCACTGCTGCCACATCAGAAGTAGGAGACGTTTGTGGGGCCGTAGGTGCCGGAGTCGCCACTCGCTGCAACACAAGCTTGTGAAAGGCAGCCGTCGGTATGTTGATTTTGACTGACCCCTTTTCAATTAACTCCTCCGAAGAAATAACACCTTTCTTGAGGACAAGTTCGATGAGCTCCGGAGATGTGAGCTCCACGTCTAGTTCATCTTGAACTTGATATCGGTTAAAAACCACTCGGTCTAGGTTCCGAGCAACAGAAAAATGTACTCACACATTCTGAATCCCGTCGACTGCGCCAAATTATGTAAAGTTCCGAAGAAATGTCAAAACGCATCTATCGCCATCTTAATCCCCGACGTTCTTCATTTTCTTTTATTCCCCCCCCCCCCCCCCCCCCCGAGATTTCGCGTTGTTTCGTCTTCTTTTTCTTTTAGTCTTCATCTATATTGAAACCAAGCTAAGCCAGCACGAATCCAACATGGCGTCTGTTCTTATTCTGTAGCTGAAGAACCAAGTGATCGCGTTTGGTGGTGCCGCATCCAATTCCGGTGCTCCCTTTTCGACTCGCCTCGGCCATGGCGGGCGCGGAAAGGCCCGCGCCGCTGATAATCGAAGAGCACGGCGACTTCCCGCGCCAAATCGTCCTCGAGAGGGAAGAAGAGGTCATGGGGCGTAGCAGGGATTGCAGCATATGCGTCCGCTCCGTGCTCGTCTCCCGACGCCACGCCATTTTCAAACGCCTAACGGACACCAGGCAGTGGTCCGTCTCGGACGCCGGAAGCAAGAACGGTGTGTACGTGAACGGCCAGCGGGTGGACCTGAGCAACCCGCGGGTGTTGGAAAGGAACGACGTTGTGTCGTTGGGTCCGCTTCAAAAAAGGCATTTCGTGTTCCTATACACGACGACAGATCCCCGTCAGGACGCTTTGGCGTTGTTGAGTCACCGTTCGAAAAACGAGCGCGCGTTTCTTGTTTTAATCGTTAACAGAGGCGCAAACTTCGCTGAAAACACCGCCAGTGCCATCGTCGAGCAACCCGTCGCGTCCGCCACGGAGGGGAACTCCTCCAGCAACGAACTCGTCGTCGATCGGGAAAATAACAACAGCGGCGTCGCGGACGGACCACAGACTTCCACCGCGATTCACGGTGGCCGGCACACTGGTTCGTCGAAAAACATTCGGCTCTCGCAGTGGGACAGCAACAACGTGGTTCGGAGGGTGGAGACCATCATGGAAAACGAAATGACTTGCATCATCTGCAGCGAGCTCTTTGTAGACGCTGTCATGTTGCAGTGCGGCCACACCTTTTGCGCCTACTGCATCCAGAACTGGCGCAAGCAGCGCGACTGCTGCCCGTTCTGTCAAGTCAAGATCTCGTCGGTGACCAGGTCGTTCGTGGTGGACAACGTGATCGAGGAGCTCGTCTGCTTCAATCCCGAGCTCGAAAAGTCCAGGAAACAGCTCGTGCGGTCCAGGCTACTTGACGTCACGGGCCGTGGCGAGGAAGACATGCGGGTGTGATGTCGGAAGCATGTAGCCCGTATTATGTCGGTGCGATCCACTTTGATTGCCTTAATAAGCAGGGTGACTGACAATCAAACCGTCTCAAGTCACAAAAAGGTCATTTACTGAATCATTGCTGAACAAAAACAGGCACTGAAAGCGAGGCGAGTTTTTGAGTGGCCCCGGTTAGTCACAAAATACAATTACTGAGAGCTTTAGAAAGAGCTTCAGGCGTGCCCGTGCAGCCAACCACACGAAAAAACCATGAGCTTACGTTGGAACCAGGGGAACTGTATAAACTTCCCGGTTCTAAAGCTGCCGGCGGTTTTTGCAAATCAGGAGCTAACTTTTGTCTCTATACTTGGTGTCAACTACTTCATGCTACATTGTCAAGGTTAGCGTAGCTTTCACAAGGCTCAAGCGCGTCACTTTAGCACGAGAGAGAGTGCAAATGATGTGGAAGGCAAAGTCATGTGCTTTCGCAACTGTGCGGCGCTGCGGCACTAAGGAGTTTGCACATGCCTTGACAATGCAGCACAAAACGGTTGACGCCGAGTTTAGTGGCTAGACCGCTGAACAGTGATTTTGCACTGTAAATATTCGAAACCTAGACCAGCCTAATCAGGAACGTAAACCTCTATAAATGTTAGAGTCTGGAAACATGTTGCCAGCAAACACATGAAACATGGGCTGTGTGTTTATACGAACGCCGCTTTGCCCGAGACTGTCTCCTGTCTCCGCTTTCAGAAAATATTGTTTCGCATTATGTTCTTTTTCTTTTCTTTTTTTTTTTTTCTTATCGTTTCGAGTGTTAGCTTGCTGTGGTTGCCCCGTGGAGCTTTGTTTTAAATTTATGCTTTCCTCCCCCACCTTCTCAAGCCGAGCTTCCACAGCATGCTTTAAAAGAATAAAAAAGGGAAAGGGTTTGTCCTCTCATATTTGGACTAAGATTCATAAAGTGCACGTGTAATTTGTTGCTTTTTCTGATCCTCTACAGACTTGGATTTCACAGCGTCCTGCCCCAAACTAATTTTCGCTTGTCTGGGACCAAGTTAATCTATGTGTTTTGAAATTCTATTTTAAAACAATGTTAACGTACCAATGCAATGCCCTGACATCTATCTTCAAGGTTATATCCACCTCTGTGCAGCCTGCATCTTTCAACAGAAATTATCTTGACTACACTTTCACTACAGCATACGCATTAACCTGCCAACTTGGCAGCTGAAGTCGTTGAGATTTTGTTGCAGAACGAATGTTCCTTTCTGTGTTCCAGGTTTTCTTATTGTGTGCTGAAATAGTTGCTTCCATTTACCTCGTCATGATGTTAAAACAATATTTTCCTTCTCATTGTAAAGTTGAAATAATGTGCTGGGTTTCATTTCCATCCCCACTTTCTCACGGTTGGTGCAAATGTCATATTCCTCATTTCTGATCACCAAGCGGCAGGTCGTGATGAAAGAACTTGGAACCTTTCTGGATTTTGTTTTTGAAGTGGGCAGGTTTACAAGTCCAGTCAACAATGATTGTGACCGATGCTCTTTACCTGTACAGCCAAACATTTAACAGCCAGCACTGGATGAACACAGCAAAGCGGCCAGATATTAGGAGAAAAAATCTGTGAAGTTATAAGTTTTAGCTGAATGTGTTCCATACGTGCACATGGAATGCATTATATCAAACTACGGAAAGCCTGTTTATATGCACTAATCATCCTTCACATTTGTTGCATGGACAAGTGTACAAAGCTCCAACCAAGCTCAAACTACACACCACAAATGATTATCATTGGAGGAGTCATTATCATAGTGCTTCATCTAAATTACCAATGCAGAATGATGAAACTAGCCCTTGAGTGTTGTTTTTGTTTTTTATTGTTTTTTTTTTTTTTTTTAACAGGAAGGGCTTTCAGTCTTTTTCGATTCGGTTGAAAAATTACATCTCACCCTGAACGAATTCTGCATTCCAATTAATTCTTTTAATGAAAAAAAAAATAATATTAAAAATATAAAATACCTTTTTTTTACAGACAAAATGTGATGAAAGAAGTTTCTGGAAGCAAGAGCTTCGGCGCCAATTTGAACGTTTTCAACCAAACATATTTTCTGAAAGTGCACAAAAAACTGGGACTAGGGCAGCAAATAAATTTCCCAACAAAAATTTTAAATACTATTTATCGTAGAAGTAACATATAAGTCATAAACGAAACTAACCTGCAACTCTTCTGGTCCGCTATCTTGTTATGACATCAGATGCATAAGCAACAGCTAACGTTACTAGACTATCTCAGTTGTGGAACTCTTGCGGAAGTGGGTACCCCCATCACTCAAATCAGTCCGCCTCCCGTCGTTCGAAGCGCCGTCGAAATTTTCGTTTATGAATTGTGTGTTCCATTGAGTACGGTGGAACGCCATCTATACTCCGTGTCACTAGTAGTGTGCAGTCCAGCTGAAGCCAACGCCAGACGAAGAGAGGAAGGGCGAGCACTAGGAAGGCGGGATGGAAAAGGAAGGATATGGAGGGCGAGGGGAGAACAGGAGAGCACTAGGAACGTTAAAGAAAGGAGGTTTCTCTCTTCCTCCCCAGCCCTCCTGGTGCTTTCCCTTTCTTCCCTCGCCTGGCGTTGCCTTCGCCTGTGCTGCACGTAGCTAGTGACATGAAGTATAGACCTTTGCAAAAAGAGCTCTCTGGTCGCCGCCATTTTGACTCGAGCGACCCCTATCAGCCAGAAATTTATCCCACCCGCCTGAGCTTTGAAAACCCGGTCAGCGCGACTCCCCACCTGCATGGCGCGTTCGGAGTTCGCCGGCTTTTATTGAAAGTTCTTACTTTATTTGCCTGTTCAGGAGGCTTACCTTTGTGTTATCTTCCACTGTGAGAACCAGGGAATACCAGGGCTCATAGCCTGCTCGGCCTTCGCAGGAAACGAACGAGTAGAGCGAACGTCAAGCAGACCACGACGTGGGCCGTTCGACGCTCTTCGAGGATTATTTCCGTGGAGATAATCTACGAAAAGTTCCCGGTTTGCGCGAAGAATAGCAGATAGAGTCGGGTCCGGTGTATGGGGACAGAATAGCTACGTTGTTCATTTGCTTAGATGCTGCGCAAAAAAGCTGTACAAGAATCTGGAGTTGGGCAAGTTGGTACATCTTAGATTAGAAAAGCGCCAGAAAACAAGGAAACAGAAAAAATAGACGAAACAATGACGTTTCGGTGTTTCTGTAGCGTTTACAGCACCGTCGAAGTTATCCAGATTATGTCCAAAAGTAAATAACAAGTCACGCAAGGCGGAAGCATGCACAAAAAAAAAAGACATGCCAACAAATATGTAGAATGCGAAACAGAGGCGGTTTACGAGATAGCAACGTCATGCGGGAGAACGAATATTGGGCAGACGGGGAGGTGCGTCAACGAAAGGGCCAGGGAGCATGACCTTTCTGTTAGGCGGTCACCCTCGGGAAACTTGGCCGTTCATTGTGATCGGTGCCCACGTTCTCCGGCACTCGATAAAACGCAGATTTCGGGAAGATATAAAACAAGAACAGAAAGAGAAGTCTTCGAGGCTTTTGTTGTTGTTAAGACGTTTATTGAACCAAGGGATTACACCAGGAACAGAAGTCCGGTGCGACGCGGTCGCAGCTATGGCGTGGCGTCTAAGTCCTTAGATGAAACGGGGGAAGGGGGATGAGGGTTACATCGAAGTTGCTAGCCCGCTTCGCGACACAAAGTCGAGGAGCGAGGTCAGGATTCGCGTCCGGCGCTCGCAGTCACCGGGGGGTGCACCCAGTCATCATAGCAAGTCGGGCGTTCATCGTCGGGCAGAAAGGACCAGGCTGCGGTGCGGTGTGCTGCCAATGCTGCGCAGTCCCAAATTAAATTATGAAGCCTGGGTAAGGACTCCGGGTCCTTGCAGCGCTGGCAGCTGGGATCCGGGGTAGGATAATATGGATCAGCTTTTTGCTTGCCGTTGGTGTCAAACAATTGAAGCAGATAGGGCGTGAGGGCGCCTCCGGTACGGATCCGACGTAGGAGCACTATCTGCGATCGCCGGAAGACCCCGCCGGGGATCGGGAACTGCTCCAGGGTCCAGGAAGAAGCGAGGCGGCGTCTCCATTGTTGTTAGAAGAGGCGCATCTCTTCATCAGGATCGTAGGCGGTCTCATCTGCGGTAGAGTCAGGAGACGGCGGCAGCGAGAGGGAGGTGGGAGACTGCGAGGAGGGGGCAAGTTGAGGCTTATTCATCTCCTCCATCGCGGCTCCGTGGTCCCGCTCGTTACCGGCGACGCCCGCGTGCCCTGCATGGTATCCAGCGGATACATGTGCGGATGGCGTAGTTCCGGTATAGGCCGAGGGCAGTCTGGAAGATGCCCGAGACTGTGGGGCTGTGTGTCAGGTGTTGCTTCTTAAGGGCACGGATGACGTATTGGGAGTCAGTATAGATCGTGAGAGTGCCGTCACGGGGCGCGAGGTCGGGCGCCTCACGCGCATGGGTTTCGTGAGTCCGGAGTGCGAGGAGCACAGCACGCGCCTCGGCAAGTTCCGGAGAGGAAGGTGAGTTGTAGGTCTTCGTGTACACGGAGGGGGAATCGAGGGACGTCGGGTGTGGGCGGGAGAAAACTGCAGCCACCGCAGATGCGCCGGAGCTGTGGCAAGCCGCGTCGGTATAAGCTATTGGCGATGTGAGCGATCGAAAGCGTCGCTGTGGTCGGCCCACCACAATTGGCCAAATGCTGACTATGACGTCAGCAAAGGATCTCCCACGGACGGAAATAAGAGGAATGTAAGAACTTCAATTTTGACGGTGTTGGCAGTGTTGCTTTGAGAGCGCTATGATTTCAGGCTTCCACCATGCCCATTACAAACACCATCGAACTTGTTGTTCCCAAGGTAATGACGTCACGAAAGGTAACCGAACGAGGGCGCCACCGAAACCTCTCGCCGCTAATAGTGTTGGACGAATCCTGAAGAAGACGGTTCAGCTCAGCGTGGTGTTGTCGAACGTAATGTTCTCGTCTCTG